GCGTGTGGCACGCCCACACAACACACACATGGTTAGTCCACGGTTCAATCCACATGCTGTCAATGCATAAAACAATTTTCCACGGAAATTGCAGTAATTAACTTTAGTACCTGCTTGAGTGACATTGTGAAATTATCTGCGTGTGTATGAGGGTGTGTGTGTGTTGCCTGGAAAGTGTATGTGTGTGTGGATGGTGTAGGGCCAGAACAGGATGCTCGTTGAAATGTGTTTGCATGTCCATTTGTCCCTGTCTATGTATGTTTCCTATGCACATTTCTAAATCACTGAAATAACTTTTCTTTTTTAACTTGGTGTTACTGACCTGTATATCAATAAATAAATCGAAGTTTATTTGCTTGATAAACTAAAGGTCATGGTTGGTATTAATATTTTTCTAATTTTTCTAATGTTTTATAATTTTATACATTAAGTGATTTACTTATTACTTGCTTAACAAAAATATGGCATCATGTATGTTTTCCCCAAATGCAATTCTAGACTAGGAATTTGTAAAACTCTTCAAATTGTTTCATAATTTGTTTTAACTTGAAAAATTTTAAATATTCCAAGAATCTTGCACTTTTGGATGTAAGGTGCCCTCTTTTAAGATTTTGATCCCATATTAATAATAAAAGTATTAAAAATGTTAAATTAGTTGAATATTTATCATAACACTTTTTATTTTTATCTTGTGTAAAAATAATCTTAAGTTACATAAATAATTATTACTCCTAGAATTAAATAAATATTTTTTAAATGATTTTGCTAATCGGAATATTTGTATGAAAATAATCAGTTTCTAGTTGTCAAACTAAAGGCAGAAACTAAAATATTAAAATTGCTATTATCAAAGCTAGTTAGTTTACTATTTAAAATCTTTTTGTAAACGTTGTTTGCAGTGGCTCTGCTCTATGTTTTTCTAATTCAATTAAAATTGGCAGCTACAGCCGGCAAACACGGACAGCGTGGGCAACAACAAGCATGCAGATCCAGTCAGTTGCAATAGCGACTCATTAGGAGGTCCTGCATATGCAATCGAACAAACACACTGACTTAATCCCCAAAACGCACAACACCACCAGTGTAAGCATATGTTTACGCTTGTATTGGTGTTAATGTTAACTGTCACTACATTTGCCTGCAGCCTTTTTGGCTTCGCCCCCACCGCCCCCTTGGTTTTTAACTGGGCCGACTGCGCTTGTTGTTTGTTATGTAACTGTAAAAACATGTCAGGCCAGCATGAGTGCGTGTATTTATGTGTCCATGCCTGCAAGTGTGTGTGTACATGTGAGGGTCCTTTGGCCACATGAGTGAGCTGCTCTGATCGCCAGAATTTAAAAATAATTTGGCGGAAAAACAACCACTTTTTAACAATTTGCAACCCTTGCAGATAACATTTACTAACAAGCCTGTTTCGGATTTAACTTTTAATTTTACAAGTTACTTTACTTTAAATTTAATTAACTTGGAGTTCATTTACCCAATTTCTATTGTTGTTGTTTATTGTGTTATTAAATTCATTAAAACTAATTATGATCCACAGAATAACACAGCTAAATCGAAGTCACATTAGTTTGCGGAGCTGTTATGCTTTTCACATTGTCATAATTGGAAAGGCCTACATGGATAATTTGTTAATTTAATTTGTTTTAATAGCCAATGAAAAAATAAGACTTTGAATGTGAGCAATGAGGATAGACATATGACTTCAGCCGACATTGGTTGTCTTTTCCAGAAATGAGAAAGGATGTTTTATTTTCTTTATATAAATTATTCTATTTTTGGGTTTCAGTGCTTAAAAACAATAAACCTAGGTCGATTTTACGAATTTTTTTCTGAAATCTCCAAAGCGAAATGATATCTCGCAGTATATGGATATATGTTAAGAAACAAAAAAGTTATAATTGTATTTCCCTTTTTTCCTTATAGACCCAATGGGATTGATATCAAATAATATCATCATATCATATTATATTATATTCCGAATTATAAAATACCAGTAACAAAAGGAATACTTTTTGCAAAGTTTCATTCAAGAAGATTTAGAACTGAGGGTCTTGCTTGTGTAAAATTATGATACCCTCTGCAAGGGTATAATAAGATTGATTTAGTGGCTATTCGGTGTTTAAGGGAGCCTTCCAGGATTATTAAGCTTATGGCTTTTCGGACTTTGTATGTTTGTTTTGCACTTTCGCCTAAACAAGCCATGGGAGAATAATGTATCATTGTTTTATGAACTTAAATTAAATGTATATATATTGTGATGACTCAACGTAAGTCAAAACAAACGAATAAGTTACAACAAGTGTAAACTTAATTAACAACTTAAATGTTAATCATATGGAAACCGAAACGAATGCTTTCAACAAATATTAACTGATTTGCAGACTTCTATTTATGGCCTGCATTTCAGTCCAATTGAGTGACTGAGCAATTAAAGCCACACATATAATTTTCGAATTACGAGTCTACAGAATAAATTATAAGCAGTAATTTATTCAAGCATGCATAATAAGCCCACGCACACAAAATTTCTTTTGCTTGAGTTATTGTCAAAATTATCCCCAATGTTTCTTGCATAATTGTGTTGAGTTTTAGTTTTGGCCTGCTTCTCCTACCCATTATCCTGGCTAAGCCTTTAAAGTTTATTTTAATCACCCATTCAAGAAGTGGTTATAGTGCTGCGTGCGTGTGCGTTTGATTAATGAAGATTAATAAAGGGGTAAATTGGTACCGATCTGTACAAGGTTAGTTTGATGTGCTTTGAATATGATTTGGGCTTGACAGTTTATTTGCTTGAGTAGATTTTCTCAAATTTTATAGCCAATGATATGATTTAATTAGGCTATTTGTGCACATTAGAGCATAGGACCGAACTAGTTGACAATTAGTTTTCCCTTTTAATAGCTGTGTAGGTTTTCGCATCATGAACTCGAAAAGTTTGATATATATTTAATGTCACTCTTTGAAATTTCTTGACATTTTTTGTATAATTTTAAAAATGATTTCTCATTGCTTAATATGGTCTCCGTCGCACAATTCATACTGAGCGTATAATTGAAATATCGTGACTCGGCGCTCCGCTCATATATAAAATGTTATTAAAACGCACAGAACCAGAAGAGTAAGCACAATGTGAAAACTAGACGTTGCGGCCATTATAACATCGCTTAAAATTTATGACAGCACTTGCGGCGCTTCGCGATGAATTTTATTTATTTATTTCGCCGCCTCTTTTGCCATTGTTCCAGTTCCGAAATTTGCTTGCCGGCAATAAGATTAAATTGCCACTGTTTCCTTGGCAATGTACTATGGACATAATAACCAATTTTTGTGGCATTAAGAACTTAAAAACGAAGCAATATATTTGGGTTTTGTTTTCAAATTAAGTTCATAATAACGATAGGATGGTTTTGAAGAAAAATTGACGTGATCCTGAGTTTTTAAGGAATTACATTATTTTTTTAATTTTAATTTTTTTAAAGTTTTTTTTTCTTGAATTGGAAATACAAAATTTTAAATATTAAAATAGTTAATGGAAAAAAGGGGACGTTGCAAGATTGTTATATAATTAATATGCAACGAAGTGCGTAAAAATGCACTTTAAAGTGCATTTAACTTAAATTGAAAAAAACTTAAATCAGTATGTTAAATGGAATGTGCCGGACTATTTTGGTAGTTCATTTCGAAAATTAGTCATTTTCTCAAATTGTTGGTTTTAACATAAAGAAAAAGAACGGGTAAGTAAACTTAATTTATATTGTTCAATTGCACAAACACAAACTACATGGTACTATTAATGAAATTTAATAAGAAATAGCTCTTAAATTGTTATACCCTTGCAGAGGGTATTATAATTTTGGTCAAAAGTGTGCAACGCAGTGAAGGAGACATCTCCGACCCTATAAAGTATATATATTCTTGATCAGGATCACCTCCTGAGTTGATATAGCCATGTCCGTCTGTCCGTCTGTCTGTCCGTCTGTCTGTCCGTCTGTCCGTCTGTCTGTTTCTACGCAAACTAGTCTCTCAGTTTTAAAGCTATCGAGTTCAAACTTTGCACACACCCTTCTTTCCTTTGCACGCAGTATATAAGTCGGAACGGCCGGGATCGGCCGACTATATCCTATAGCTGCCATATAACTGAACGATCGGAAATGCCATAACTTTGGTGTTTGTAAAGTTAGGAAGTTGGGATTTTATATGGGTGTTATATTTGGCCAATCAATCCGACCTACCAAATTTCATAAGGATCGGCCGACTATATCCTATAGCTGCCATATAACTGATTGATCGGAAATGCCATAACTTTGGTGTTTGTAAAGTTAGGAAGCTGGGATTTTCTATGGGTTTTATATTTGGCCAATCAATCCGACCTACCAAATTTCATAAGGATCGGCCGACTATATCCTATAGCCGCCATATATCTGATTGATCGGAAATGCCATAACTTTGGTGTTTGTTAAGTTAGGAAGTTGGGATTTTCTATGAGTTTTATTTTTGGCCAATCAATCCGACCTATCAAATTTCATAAGGATCGGCCGACTATATCCTATAGCTGCCATATAACTGAACGATTGGAAATGCCATAACTTTGGTGTTTTTAAAGTTAGGAAGTTGGGATTTTTTATGAGTATTAAGAATGCATCATATGAATATTTTTGGAGAATATAATTTACAGAGTATTCTGCAAGGGTATATCAACTTCGGCTCCGCCCGAAGTTAGCTTTCCTTTCTTGTTTAAAATAACACTGTTATAATTTTATAGTTGCAAAAACTAATTGTAGTATTTTCGTGATCGAGAAATGTGAACTGCCGTGTATGTAAGTACACCGATCGCAAAAGAACCGACAATGCAAAGTCAGATTTAAATTAATTTGTACTATGGAAAATTTGATTAAAACTTAATGTAAATGAAATTCGCTACATGTTACGGTAAATTTAGAAATTAAATATTGGTTAATGCCATTCAGTTATAACTTATTTTCCTGACAGCGTCGTCTTACTTTTTGAGGTTAAAGTGCTACTTCAAAAATATGAAGCTCTTTATCTGGTTTTCACTGTTCTTAGTGAGTCATGGGAAGCTTTCGGAAGATAACATAATAAACGGTAGATCGTTATTTTTAATTTCGCCAGTTAATTTTATAATAATTAAGGCCGTTCACAAAACATTTCAGAGCTGTGCTTTAAGCCGGATGCTGGACCATCTTGTCAAAAATTGAAAACATTTTATTGGAACAAGGAACTGAAACGATGTGTGGAGACCAAATATTTAATGGAGCCTTGTGGCTTTTTCTACAAAAAGAATACATGCACTGAAATATGCTCTAAGGAATCATGGACTTTATATAATTTGGAAAACTATGTTCGCACTTTGCATTGAAATATATATCCCTTTATATTCTGCTTACTGTTAACAAGTAATTAAATTACGTGTATATAATTCCTTGACAAATTTATTAAATTGGCTTTAGTGATATTTCTACTTCAGTTAGCTGTCATCATGAAGGGCCTGAACGTTTTGGTCGTACTCGCTTTATGCAATCTGTCCTTCGGCATGCATGCTCAAAGTCCTGTTTATAGTAGTAAGTAAAATGTATGTTCGCTTATGGAAAATGTAACATCGCTGTCACATTGGTCTAGTTCTATGCAAGCGAACAGGCGGATCAATATCTTGCTATCAAGACAACACTTGGGGCTTTGATGAGAGGAGTCGAAAATGTTATCATATACGTAGGGGTCAAGGACCCTGTGGCTTTTTCGATGGTGTACGGGGTTGCAAGGACTTCTGCATAAAAAAAAGCATGACATCTATTTTAAAAAATGTTGTGACGTAGTACAAACAAGGTAGTATAAACAATAAAATCAATAACAACTCAAATTCCACCAGAATGCAATTGATGGTTTCCCAAAAAAATTTTAAAACTTTATAATTTACAGGCATATTAAAAAGATTATTTTAAAATAAAATGGTAATAGATTGAACCCGACATTTGGAAATCGGTGAAATTTTAAAAATTAATTTAGAAATCTGTTTTTAAGGTACCTAACAATTGCTTCTGCGTTTCTTTTGGTGTAAAAAACAAGTTTGTTGCATAAAAACATATTGGTATAAGAGAGCTTTGTTCACAACTATCGTTTAGCCGTAAAAATTAAATTTTCTTTGGTATCCGCATGACAAATTTTCAGCTCTATATAAGAAAATAAGTAAATAAAAAATGTTAGTTACATTAAAGGCAGTTGCTATGTATATCCTTAGCAACTGTTTTTTTCTTTTATTTAGCCTTTACACTTTGCAGCGTGGTGATTCTTTAACACTCAGAAACAGTAAGTGGAATAAATAAAATGTGCAGTGCACTGGAGCCTTAAATATATTACCCAATTAGCGTTATGCAACAACCGCGGAAAAGAAGACTTTTGCTTTGAGGAAAACACTTGGAAGTTCGACAATATAACTAGAACATGCGATCCTGTCATTCCGGAGAAGGAACCCTGTGGACTCTTCACTAACGAACAGGCTTGCAGAAAGTTCTGCATAAAAAAATCAGAAAATGTCATAGTGGAATGAAAACTGGAAAAATGAGCAAAAGTCGAAATATAATGGATTAACCAGAAGTGCTGTCTCTATATGCAAATTTTCTAATGGTTTTTACAAAGCATGGTAATTAATTTTCGTTATCAACAATGATCTTAACAGAAAATGTGCAAAATAATAATCCGAAAGATAAATTTTCAAAAATTATCAGGGCCGTAATCAAAATATAGATTTTTGACATGACTTAGAGCATTACATTTTTTGCTTGGCAAGTCAAAAACAAGTTATGTTTAATCTCGCACATTCAATTTATATTTCATTCTTTTTTTGTTTGCTTAATATTCGCATGTAAGATGCTCCAAGTAATTAGTGTAACTTGGATGAAGTAAGGTGCCTTACCAATAATGTACGGGTTTGTTGTTAAAATCACGATCCGAGAATAGCACGCATTTTCTGTGACTCCAAATAATTAAAGAAAAATATTATATAAATTAAAATATTCTAGGAAGTTATAATTATAATTCTTTAAAGCCGATTGAAATTTTACGCGACTGTAATGATTTCAATGATTTTTAACTTAATATTATATTAACATTTAACTGAACAAATAGCGTAAAACCAAGGGTAAGAATTTTTGACTTCAATAGAAACTAATGTATTTTTAATTAAATTTCTTCAGAAACAACTAAATTATTGGCTGCGTGATTTTCATCTCTATATTATTACTACTTTTAAACTAAGATATTTTTGTCGGATTTGGCAGCCACATATAAGTGAAAGACTTTTCGAATTGGAGTGTAAATAAGAATTTCCGTTGGCATGAGCTTGCTTGTTATACCCGTTACTCGTAGAGTAAAAGGGTATATTGTATTCGTGCAAAAGTATGTAACAGCTAGAAGGAAGCGTTTCCGACCCTATAAAGTATATATATTCTTGATCAGGGTCACTAGCCGAGTCGATATAGCCATGTCCGTCTGTCCGTCTGTCTGTCCGTCTGTCTGTCCGTCTGTCTGTCCGTCTGTCTGTCCGTCCGTATGAACGCTGAGATCTCGGAAACTATAAAAGCTAGAAGATTGGCATTTTGCATGCAGATTCTAGAAGTTCCTACGCAGCGCAAGTTTGTTTCAAAAAGGTGCCACGCCCCCTTTATCGCCCACAATCGCTTATATACGATTTTAAAAATTTAAATATTTCGGAAAAGTAAAAATGCAGTTTTATTGTGTTTATCAATACCTATCGAAATGTAGAAGAAATTTTTCAAATCGGACCATTCGTTAAAAAGTTATGCGTGATCAAAGTTTCTATCTCCATCTCCCTCGCACTCCCTTTACCTGAGTAACGGGTATCTGATAGTCGGGGCACCCGACAATAGCGTTCTCTCTTGTTTTTCCTTCGTTTGTTTGTCGGCTATATGAAGTTCATCAAGCAGCTTCACTGGAGCATGTGTCCTTGGCCGACCATTGTCCTTTGCTTTGTTTGTTGTCTGGTTTGCAACTGCCGCTAATGAAACATACTTCTGGCACTTTATTTCATTTGCTCTCTCGCCTCGCCCTAACAATCTCAGCCCCTGCCAAGGCCCAATCCACTCCCCTCGCAGCATTTAGCTCATTTTCGCCGGCTTGGCTCAAGTTTTTGTGTCCTTGGTTTTATTAGATTTTATTTGCTTAGTCTTTATTTGTCTTCTGCCTCCGTTTTCCCTCTTGCCGGCATTAAGTGTCCAATTTTAGTTCAGGGCTTCCACTTGTCGGGGTATTTTTAGGGTGAAAATATTATGACACCCATCAGTTGACGGCGTGATGATTTTAAATTCTAGAATTTTAATTTGTAAAAAAATAATAAAATTGTACGGTTCATGTAGTAAACAATGATTGAGGCCAAAAGCCAAATGTTTATTTTCTTTCAACTTAAACTATTTTCAAAAGCAAAGCAAAGATAATGAAATTTTTTTTCTTATATGGCTTAATAATAATTGAATTGTTTTAACAAATATATATAAATATAAGTACTATTATGGCTTAAAATGTTATATTTTTACAAAGCAAAATTAGGCATTGGTTTGGCAATTTTAAATTTTTGTTTCGCAATCATTTCTGGATTGACCATTTCACGGACGAAAGTTTTTGAAACTATAGGGTACTTATATGCCGCAGACCATGTTTAAGCTACTCCTTTTCCTTTTGGCCAGTTTTCTTTTGTGCTCGGCTTTCGCTTGCCACAGCAGGATCCTTGTTGCTGGCTGCCGCTCCTGTTCTATTTGCTTTGGCCTTTTGTTAGTTTGTTCTGTGCAGAAAACTTTGCTCAGCCAGCTGGCCACATATGCCCCAGCATCCTCATTTGGCTTCTCCTCACTTTTTTACACATCTATTTTTTAGCAAATTCGTCAAGTTTGTAAACACAAATTATGACAATTAAGTTGACTGTTGACTTGTTTGAGCTCGTCGTCTGCAAACTTTGCCTGCAATTTAAAAAAAAAGTGGCCAAATTGCATTAAATTCCTGCCGAAACCGTTGACAGCGAATTCAATTAGGAAGGCCCAGAAAAAACACCCGTTTGACATTCCGGATCGAGCTTAATTTTCGTTTTAATCTCCGTGCATTTGCAGTGCGCAAAGTTTGGGCTGCCATTGGCACAGGTGCCGGAGCTCACGCAGAGTTCGTCCTCGGGGCAAGGAGGTGTTAAAGGTGGCCGGCAGCCACAATTGTTCATTAGATTAGCAAGTTGGCAGCAAAAGTTTGCAGCCCGGGCCCGGCTCAAATGCCACTTTCACGGCTGCTGACACACTTGAGTTGGATTGCGTTTTCTGCCTCTGGCCCGCCCGTTTTCCTCCCTTTCCATTTCCTTTTTCTTTTTGCAATTGCAGGAAATTTTATGAATTTTCTTATCAATTCAAAAGGCGAGAAACGACAGAAATTTACGTGCTCAAAGTGGCAAGTTGTCACAACGACAAGCCAATCTATATCTGTGCAAGTGTGTGTGTGTGTGTGTGTTAGCCAACTTTTGGCTCTTTTCGCCCCGCTGCTGCACCACCACATCGCTGTCTCAATTTGTCATTGAAGTTGCCGCTGTGCTGCCGATAAGAAAGTTTTCACTTGATATAAGCAAATGCGGCTATTGATGGTAAATGTTGGCAGTTAGTCTTCCCCCTCGACTCTTTGCTGTTTTCAAGATTTAAATTGAATTTCCAAGATTTTTTAAAGTCTTACAGCCAGAGTTTGGCGGTCTTAAACGAGAAGAAATCACAGATGATTTGGGCTTGAAAAATGAAAGAGCTTTGTCACCATTTACTCCCAGCACTCTGCCAATTAAACTTATCTGTAATTGCCTTAAAGTTTGAATCGAGTTTTTAGGAGTTTTTAAGAAGTTTGTACTTAATTTGAAGCGGTGTAGATTAATTCGTCTTATCTGCAGTCATAAAATATTTATTAACAAAAAATATAATAATAATAATAAAAAATAATATATAAAATAAATAATATTAATAAAATAAAAATGTAAGATTAGTTTGTTTCACTCATTTTAACTAGGGCTTCACTAAGAAAATGATAATAATATTTTAAATTTTAGTTTTTGGACTCTTAACAGTTGTTTTATTAACTTAATCGTTTAATATTTTTTAATGCATATGTTCATATGCATTTTCAAAACAACATGCAAATGTGCCGCTAGTGAAAAGAAATGGAACCGTTTTGTCACCATTTAGGCCGCGCTCTCCGCCAATTAAACTTATCAGCAGTTTCGCTTTATCCGAATTAAGCAAGGTGCTCACGTGGAGGACACGCAACTGGCCTGCGGAAGTGTGGAAGTGAGGAAAATGGCCGGCGAGAACAGGTGGGGGAAAATGGAAAATGTTTGCCGGCAAAAGGAGTCAGGACAGTCACCGAAGTGCGTAAGGCAACACTCCTGTGGCGGCGCGTGCTACATAATTAAAAGGATGCCTCGAGTTGGCAAGAGCGTGAGAATAAGGCGAGAGACAAACTATAAAATAAACCAAAGGCTGGGAAATGCGAGGGGCGAAATATCACAGGGAGCGGCACACTCGAGCGCATAAAAGAGTTTTTATTACCTGGTTCGGGTTCAGAAATCCTAGTCCTGCGCGACCCCAGCCTGAATAATAGCCAGTGCGGCTCATTGTCCTTTTCCGGTAATAATTTCGCATTTACCCCCGGCACGGTGGCAACCTAACACGTTTGTTCTGCTGGCTGCCCGGCCAAATTAGCTGTGACAGCCGCGTGGCAAAGGCGCTCCTGGCCAGCTCCCTCCATGTCCTTGGCTCCGGGGACTCTTCGGCGGCTTGAGACATACCTGAGGCGACTCCCTGCGACCACGTTATCATTTATAATGAGTTA